CAGGTTTCAGAGTAGCAACCGTGTTAGTCTGTATTTGCAAAAAGAAAAGGAGGACTTGTGGCACCTTAGAGACTAACCAATTTATTTGAGCATAAGCTTTCGTGAGCTACAGCTCACTTCATCGGATGCATTTTTTTCAGTGTTACCCTTCTTCATCTACCAAAACTGTATCCCTTACACATCTTAAAATTCCTTTACAATCAACAGCTATATTTAAAAACTATTAAATAGCTTCTACAACACAATACAGGAGTGTGACACTTCAGTCATCCCAGACCTGTAAGGAGTTGTGTCACCACCTGCCCTGCAACGCTGATGCCTTAAGTATTATGTTGCTGTGGCTCACAGCCCTGGCACCAATAGCCACCCAAGATACATATAGGTCACACACTAATCACTTTTTGCAGAATGATCGCAACCACCTCCCAGTCCTGAACTTCCCCCAAACCATCTGCCCTGCAGTGTCCAGCCCTCTCCTGGAACACCCACAGAAGTTAAGTTTGTTGCTCTTTAAAAGAGCAACAAACTGGCCTGTTAGCCTAACTGGGCTAACTTCAATCATTGCACTGAATTAGTTTATAATAAAAGGTGAAAAATTTGTTAAACAAAAAGTCATAGGTTTAAGTAATACCAAGTATAAAGAATAAAGATAGAAAGAGTTTCAACCACACACAAGTAAAGATATGCTTCTAAGATACACAGTTTTGGCAAGTTACAATCTTTTCCTAAGAAGGTTTCTCCCTATGCTCAGTTCCTAGGGACTTCAACCCCCTTTGGTTGAAGGGCCCAGCATTCTGTGATTTCAAGAGATCTGGCCCTTGAAACTCCCCCAGTGATGGACATCTCTCTCCTTTCTTTTTATAGCCAAGTAACCCTTTGAAGTGTGTTTTTTTGAAAAGTAAGCCCAGATAAAGTTCCTTTTCCCAGCTGGGTGTGGACGCCAGGCTGTCTGGTGCAGACCTCATGCTGTCTTCTCCTCTGCTGGTGACTTTTAACAATGTAAATTATCTCTTCCTGCAATCTCTGATACAAATGAAGGGCCTGTTGAATTTGGCTACACCTGGTTTGGGATGGTGGCCTCTTTTCTCTGTCGGGTGAAAACCTGTTTATTATCTTGCCTGGACATTAAACACCTTTTAGTCACAGACTTTAAAGGATAATATCAGTGAGTATCCATAATTGCTCATGCAGAGTTAATGCATACATTTCACAATGATATCAATCACCAGTGTGATTTTTTCATAAAATACCTTTCTCAACGTACTTTTATAATACAGCAGTATTACATGTACAATCAGTTGATTCAGTTGCTATCATTTGGGGTTCAGATCCCCACTCACTAAGCTGATGGCTTTGTTTACCTTTTATGGAAGTGTACCTTCATTGTCTCTGCCTGATGACCAGGCTGGTCAGACAAGCAAATACACATTTGTTTGTCTAACGCAAATGTGCCTATGAATTGCTTGCCAAACACATTTTAAGAACATAATTTTAGCATATATTTATAACTTTGTATGCAACCTGTACATACATCATGCAAGAATATTAATGATCAGTGAATTATTAGTTTTCCCAATGCAAACTTTTCGGTATAGACCAGGGGTCTCAAACAGTCCACCAAGTACCCGCGCACCCCCCTCCCAGAGTTATTTCCTGCAGACCGACAAGCTCCCCTCCCCCCCGCTCTCCCTGCCCCCAGTGCGCCACATCCCCACTCCTCTGCCTACCTCCAGGCACTTAGTGATCTCCAGGAGGGATGGGGGAGGAGCCGCGTGCTCAGGGGAGGAGGCGGAGAAGAGGCAGGGCGGGGGCGTGGATTTCGGGAAGGGGTTGGAATGGGGCGGGGAAGGGGTGGGAAGAGGTGGGGCAGGGGCAGAGGGTGTCATAATGCGGCCCTCGTGCCAATGTACTAGTCCTCATGTGGCCCTCCTAGTGATTAGAGTTTGAGATCCCTGGCGTAGACCATGACAGTGTTAGATGTCCTGAGTATGTCAGGCCTGACAAAGGTTGCTGGCAGAGTAGTGAACCCCCAACAAGCCTCTGTCACAATGAATGAGTTAGGGGCTCAGACACACAGCTCAATGGCAAGAACATAGGTTATGATTGTTACCGTGGTTTATTTTGTGGGAAAATTAGTCAAGTAAGAAAGCAGCAGCAGCTGCCGCAAAGCCTTTTTCAGAAACACTGTAATCCATGTTAGCAAATACCTGTCAGTCAAAAAAAGCAAATCAAGACACTTTGCAAGTTGAAATTTCACATTAGACAGCCTCTTAGTTATTCCAGATGCCAACATATTCTAATTCAAATATGCAGGACAAAATGCCAAGACACAAGGGATTGATTCTGCAAGGAGATAAGCACTTTCAGAGGATTCAGTGGAATCAATAGCACCCATCAGCCTTCTAGTGATGCTTAGCATCTTTCAGGACTGGGTACTTGTAGTGAGGCGGTGTGGTCCTCCGCCTCCCTGGAGAGAGACGAGACCTTCCGGACACCATTGCCATTGAGCTGTGTGTTTGAGCCCCCCCAGAGGGTCAGGCGGTGCCCTGGAAGTATAAAACCTCGACCTCGGAATTCACTGGGAAGACTGCCGCTGGGAGACCAGATGCCTCCGACCTGTCCTGTGCCCGCCAACTGGAGGAATTGCCAGGCCTTTCCTGCACCAGCTACCCAGAGGAGTTGCTGAGCCTTTCCCGTACCAGCTACCCGGAGGAGTTGCTGGGTCTGCCTCTCGCCAACTACCCCGAGGAACCCATGGTGCTGGACCCCCTAGAGGACACCACCGTGACCCAGGTACCACCAGAGGGGGAGTCTGGAAGTAGCCCGGGGGCAGCTGACCCTAGTCTGGCTGCAACACTGCCAGAGCCCATGTCGGTGTGTTGCTGTGTCAGCAGACATGACACAACAGCGGGTCTTTTGCCGCTGCTAGGGCCCAGGCTGGGATGGCCTGCGTCCCCCCTGCGACCCAACTCGCAGGTAGCAGTCTCCCGCTATCCCAGGTCCTTCAGAGGCCTGGGCTTATTGCTACTGTTTGTACTGCTACTGCACAGCCCCTGCCTGAGGGCCTGAGCTCCTGACTCATTGTTGCCCCGCCCTGACCAAGGGCTCGGGCTTACTGTGCTTATTTCAGTTGCCGCAAGGGCCACAGAGGGAGACTCCCACGGCCGGACTAATTCCCCACAAGACATCAACAGTGTGTAGTGAGGCAGTGTGGTCCCCTGCCGCCCCAGACCACTGCACAAGCAGATTTTCAATTTTTAAATTATATATCTCCACTAAGTCACAGTGTGATGTATGATGGGGTTTGCTGCTTTGACAACCCTTCCTACATTAATGTTCCTTGCTTATTGGGACTGTGCCATATTCTGATTTAATACTCTTTGGCAGTGGTTAATATATGCATCTGCATTGTATATCATATTCGAAACTGTGGAAACCCACTGCCTGTTTTCTTAAAGTGAAAAAAAAAAAACATTCTGAACAGACTCCATTCTAAATTTAAGGTAGTTCAGCTATTTTAATCTTTTCTTTTGTATCCCAGAGCACCTTTACAAACACAGGGAGGAGTAGAGTGTTGCTGTTCCCAGCCATGGCTTGTTCCTCCATTCAACCCGGCCTGGTCATGTCTCTGTATACAATGTCCCTATCACTCAACCAGTGGTCGGCCGCTAGGTCAGACTGACCTTGGTTATGTTTGCATTATTTTCTTTGGCATTCTATTATCTGTTTGTGTTCTGCAGTGACCTCACCATCTGAATCTTTTCGATAGCAGCAAATCCTGTATCTTGATTTCACATCCTATTCTCTTAATTTCAGAAAATGGAAGGTGTGACGTGGAATAATTTTAAGACAAATTAAGAACTCAAGTCCACTATCTCCATCTTTTGTGATGCCTTTTTCATTTAATGCTGCTGCTTCCAGACCAGAATAATACTGTTAGTATACTGGTTTGGTATTTTTTCCACTTTGGTATCAAATGTAATATTTTTATCAGTCCATAATTTTATCAATTTATATGCAGCATTTGTAGCTAAAGCACAGCTCCTTTTAATCACATCCTTGATGGAACTGTCAGCACAGATCAAATTTCATAGGTACACAAGATTCTACTTCTGATAATTCTTCACCACTGCTGCATTTGAACACTTTGTTGTCACTTTTTCAAGATGCAAGCTTTGTCTTCTAGGCAATTACTGAGTGTTCAAGTGAACTAGACGAATTTTCCAAGGTAGCAAAGAGCATCATTAATTCAAACCTCCGCCTTTTGTACCATGTCTGTATAAACGAAGGATTTTAAATTCTAGATCATCCAGCTTGTCTAACTTTTTAATGTCTGGTTTAGGAATATAATGAAGATCATTGGTGATTCCATGCCCCCTTGTCTTATACCAAATATTGACTTGAACCAGTTGCTTAATGTTCTACCAATTCTTTTGACATTACAGGAGTCTTCGTACACAACTTTTATAGTTGTAGTTATCCTCTCTGGAACACTATCTACTTTTACTAATTTGCATAAAGCTTCTCTCCACACCAAATCAAAGTAAATGAAAACAGCAACATCTTTAGTCCTCCCCACCCCACCCCCCACCATCAGATGTCAGTGCATGAATATCAGGTCGATGCAACTTGAGCCTGGTCTGAAGCTGCACACACGGTTCCTCATCTACTTCTTCTAAAACTGGTCTTAATCTGTTGACAATTACTTTCATCATGATTGTTCCTTATACAGATAAGAAGCTTATCCCTCTAGTTATTCAGTTAGCAGGATCTCCTTTCTTCAGGATTGGCACAACTACCGCCTTCAGCCAGTCATCTTGCTCCCAACTTTCTTGTTTAATTTTTCTTAATGCTTTGATAGCACTTGTCTCGCCAACTTTTAGCAGCTCAGCCGTTATATTGTCTGTTCCTGCAGCTTTCCCACTTTAAACAGCTTCATTGCTCTTTCTATTTCCTCTTCTGATGGTGGTTCAGTGCCGATATCCATTCTGCCTTGCAAGCTGTCCTGTTCATCTCGTATGACTAGACTGCTTGCATTTGGAGGATTCAGCACTCTCGAAATCCTCCTTTCATACTCCCAGCACCTCACCTCCTTGGCAGTCGTCATCACTTCACCAGTAGGCTTTAAAAAAAAAAACCCCACATGACTTACATCATTTACCTGCTTGTGTTTTCATACAGCTTAACCTTTATATAATCAATCACTTTCATCTTTTGTTTTCTTGTTTTGTTGACAGGGGCGCCATTTCAGCTTTTTGGTAGAGGGGACAACCGTAACCAAGATTCCAGGGGCTATAATACTAACACAAATAAATTTAAAAAAATAACCAACTAACCACCACCACTATCATGCAGGCTAACTACTTTAAACCTTGTGGTACTTCAACAATTTGGATGATGCACAGGAACAATATTTTATTGCACCCTAACTCAAAGATTGTTTCATAGTACCCCACAACTGCAGCACTTTCCATAGCCGCAGTTTTTGTATTCTTACTGCACAAATGATTGATTTAAATTCCAAATTTAGTAGGAATGTAATGACCCTCAGGTTTATATTAAAGAGGTCAAAATATAAAATAAAATCTTGTAGCAGTAAGATCAAAACTAAAAATGAAATAAGATGGATCATATTCTGTTCTCATTTACACATCCAGAATAATAATAACGTGGTCAATTTGGTTTTTGACCATCTGGTGAATTCCAATGTGCATGTCTGTGAGGAAACCAAAGTATCACCATTAATCAGACTGTGCATCTCACAGCAAGTTCTTAACCTTTCCCCTTTATCGTTTGCCATTCCGATACGATGTGATCCAACACTATTCATTAGTTTAACATGTCCACTCCCAACCTTTGCATTAATATCTCCCATTATCAGGATCATATGATTGGGAATCTCATGTACAATGCTAGCCAACTATCTTCCTCTGCCTCTTCGCTGCTTTTATTGGTGTGGAAGAACAGATCACACTTCCGCATAGTTTATTGTAGGCCGTAGTAAAAACTTTGCTATTACAATCCACTCAGACACCAGTTTCCACTGAAATAACTGTTCTCTTGTCCACTGCTGTAGCAATCTCATCTCTGCGTTTCACTTGTCCACAGAAATGTCCAAAGTTAAGTACAATTTCCAACTGTCAATTTGCCTACATCCAGCCAATGTGTTTCCCATATGTTAGCAAAGGAAACTTGTAACCTCCTTAAGTTCTTTTCTACCAGCTCAGTCTGGCCTATACCAAATAAAGTCCTAACATCCCAGCTCACAGTATGTGTAATATGTTTAGCAGTTACCAGAAATCCATGACCGTGTCCATTTGTGAGGCTTGATTGACCTGGGTCAAAATCTGTATAAATCAGTGTGGCTTGCTGTACTATTTCTATAACAAGTAAGTGTTGGATGTAATGGCTAGTTAAACCAATTCACCTTATCCAGCTCATGGGAATGCTATGTCAGCCTGCTGGCCTACTAGCAACAGGTGTCAGCAGTTCCACCCTAGAGAAAGAGGAGATTGATTAGGTTTGCCCCCAACCAAGCATTTGCACATAACAGGACTCCGTATCTTTATATATTATTTCTACCGTCAGATTATGTCCCCCAGCTGCTGCCTTTCCCCAACCACCACCACCCCCCTATCTTAGAGGGATTATTATTTATTTGTATTATCACACCACGGAGCCCCACTGGTAGACTTGTACCCCCTGCACTAGATGCTGTACAAACATAGAACAAAAAGATGCTCCCTCCCCCAGGTTCCAGTACCTCTTCACCACAATTTCCTGTGTACCAGTTAGTTGAAAGGAAATCTGAATTACACAAAACATTGCTTTCAGATGAGTGGTTAAGTGTATTAGGACTCAATACAAAGGTACAAGCAGACCATGTGTTAGAGGAGACCAGCATTCATGGGGGCCAAAAAACAGGCAGTCAGAGCTGCTCAGAATTATGAAGGCAACTAATTAGTTGAGATCTGATCATGCTCATGAGGAACAATATCAGTACATGAAAAACAAGCTGGTGGAAAGCAGAAAGACACTACAAAATCTTGATCATTCAAAGAAATTAATACAACAGAAGGTACAATTGACAGCAGAAACCAGGTTTGCTGTGAAAAATATTGGGTAAAATCACAGAATAATTGAAGTCAGTGTCAAAGTTCCCATTGAGTTCAGTGGTGCCAGGATTTCACCCATGACAATAAATATTTTTTTAAAAAACAAAACAATCAGGTGCGTGTGTGTGTGTGCGCGTGCGCGAGAGAGAGTGAGAGAGAGTGCGAGCAAGCGTGCATGCGAACAAATTTCCTCAGGTACTAAATCTGGTATCTTGGGAAGGAATTTGCTGTGCAAATTGCTGCCAGGCATGCCAGTTAGACCAAGTATATTTCTGCTTCTCAACATGATGTTAGAGAACTAAAAGCAGGAACTGAGTCACTCGTAAGGTTATTTCATATGCAAGCGAGCCCACTGGCAGTTTCTCTCCTTTAGATTGGAAGACTCACAGAGAAAGTGCTGCAGAGGCTCCAGCAGATGTACTGAACTGTGCAGGCTGCTGCCACTAATTTTCTTTTTCAGTTATTTTGCTGAAGAAAGCACTGACTGTTCAGGAGTTTTATAACAAGTCAAGCTTGCTGACAATATTTATATTTTTTTCTTTCCTGAAAACAAGTCTGACTACACAAATCCTAGGTAAGAAACACTGAAAAGTGGACACAGACATACAGCTGCGCTGCTATTAAGATTCCCCCACCTCCCAATTACTGTATTTAACAGTCTCCACTATTAAGTTTCAGAACAAATCATGCCAGCTGGCAAGATTTTTCTTTTTACCTTTAAAACAAGCCTTACTGGAAAATTATAGAAAAGGGTGTCTTGTAAGAGGATACATCTACATTCTGACCTGAAATAGCCCTGCTATTTCAGTCTCAGGCCTCTCCAGTGAGGTGACTCTGTAGTTAATTGGTAACCTCAAGTGTACACGTTTATGCTTCCTTCCCACAAAACCCATGCTATCGTCCTCCAATCCAGTTTAATGTTAGACTCCCAATCCCAATCCAATCTTGACCCACTGGATTCCTCTAAACCAATGCCCTACTGTTGTAATACTTTGTTTTGCCTGCGCTGATAGGCCTCATGCTTTGTTTACTCCCATACAGCAGCAGGTACAAAGAATGATTCTCACTTGTGGTGAGGTTTACTCCTATACAGATAGACATGAAAGTTGATGCAACACCGATGTCCTATTTTGAAAGCTTAGTTAGAACCTCAGTGTTTGTGGACCTTTTTCTGGTTATTTGCAGACACAAAATTTACTCTTAGGTTGAAAACTCTTTACTAGTTATATGATCAGTTTCTAAAAGAAGTGCAGTACTGCTGACCAAGAGCATTTCTACAAAAAGGTAAGTGCTTACACATTCAGATAAGCAGAGGTAACAAGTCAGTCTACAGAAATAACATCTGGTCACTCCCAATAAGTTTACAATTTTCACTACTATTCTGTCCCTATCCCTAACCTCTTACTCCATGGGAGTCTATCAGACTCGCTGTTGAGCTTTGCGTTGCTATTTAGTTCGAGTGTCATGATACTCTGGGCCTTGTTAGTAATGCACCCTAGACTGCATATTGGACCACTGACAGGAGTACTTGGATCACTTTCCGAGGACCCCTTTACACATCAATTTGGCTAACTAGCAATAACTTTAAAACACATCTCCCAATAATATATATTAACCCGTTCAACTAGAAAAGACTCAAAAATGGCTTGTATAGTTCTTGCTGAGTAAATTTTAAAAATAGGCTTTGAAAGCATAGCTTTAGAAGGAAGAACTCCATAAAAGCAGAGAAGAAAGTCAAAGGAAAAAAATCTCTCATATTTGCCAAATATTTTCGCTGCCTGAGTACCAATGGACCATTAAGCTCGACATGGCAGCTGGAGGATTCAAAATGCAGTGGCTAAGAATTGAAGAGCTTCTGGGCTTCCCTCCTAGGAAAGGATTTTTCTGCTTGCAGAAGAAGCCCAAAGCCACACAATTAGATCTGGGTGAATAAAAAAGCTGTCAAACATTTATTTGATCATTTGTAAATGTTTTCTTCTTCTGTAAAATTGATCCACTACAGTAGGTAAGAAAGTAACAGCCATGTGTGTACAACAAAACATTATAGCTGGACGTGAAGCTGTGCAAAGTCAACCTCTTTAAACCAAGGATAACAGGCCAAGTTCATACACCTTCATTTACAAAGATACCCAAAGCATTATGTAATACCACTCCAAATGTGTCATTTTCCCCATAAGAATCAGGCCAATATACTCTTGCATTTCTGTCTGCTCTGTTTATTTTAGTCACTAACACATACATGCTTCTCTACCTTACCAACCAACCACGACATGCTTAGAACAAAATGGTGTCTAATGTCTGACAGATATCAGTAGTTTAACTGAAAACATTTGTATTTTGCTTTTGGAACTGTACAAAAATGTCATTAAAAAGTGATTATGAACCAAATTTACACAACTGTACAGCCTCTCCCTGACACCCTGGGTCTCATGGTAGGAAGCCCATTATTTCAAAACCTTCCAGTCATTACAACATTCAGCACTTAAGTCCATTAAGACAGAAATAGCAGATAAGCATAAAGTAAAGCTGACAAACTGTTTAATAATGTCTTGCAATCTCGGCCACATTTGAAAATCTACCAGAGAACCACAGGGAACTTTCCATGCTAGCAAAAGAGAAAAGTGAATTGCTTTAAGACTGAACTGGTGAAAGAGCAAATGGAGGTTTTGTATACAGCAGAAAAGGCAGATATACTTTATTGCTACAGTAGTTTTATATTGCCATTATTAGTATCCAAGGTAAAAAATAAAGATGGGATAGTATACAAGAAAACTCCTGTTAATAATCATACACTAGTAAGTCAGTTTCTGCTAATCATGTCTTCAGATAGACAAGGTGGGTCAGGTATTATCTTTTATTGGACCAGTTTCTGTTGGTGACACTCACAAGCTTTCAAGATTGCAGATCTCTTCTTCAGGTCTGGAAAACATACTCTGTCACAGCTAAATACAAGGTGAACAGAATGTTTAGCATAAGTAGTTAAACACATTTAAAGGGACCATTCAAAGTGAAGTGGCTCATTAACCCCTCTCTAGTCAAGGGGGAAAAGGGTTAATAGGTTATAGATTGTTGTAATAAACCATAAATTCAGTGTCTCTAATCAGTCCATGATTTTTAGTGTCCAGCAAAGTTATGAGTTTAAGCTCCCAGGCTCTTCTTTTCAATGTGTTGTGCAGGTTTGCTTAGAGGACAAGGACTGAGAGCTCAGATATAGAGTGATTGCTTTGTGAAAACTGTGCACCCACAGGTGACATGGTGTTTTTGTCTTGTGTTATTTTTCTGTGAGGGTTCATTCAAGAGCGTAGTGATTGTCTCGTTTCACCCACAGTTATTATGGTAGTTAGTGCACTGGAAAAGGTACACCATATGTTGTGATAGGCATGTGTAGAACCAGTGGATCTTGAAAAGTGTGTTGCAGGGGTGTTGAACATTGAAACCATGGAGGTATGTCTGCAGGTTTTGCACCTGCTGTTCTAGAAGGGTGTCCTGGTCTATGGAGCCTTCTGTGAGGAGTTTGCTTCTGATGAGCTTCCCCACAGACCAGGACACACCAACTCAGAGGCACCAGACCCTTCCAGAACAACAGACGCAAAAAGAACTATCAGAAAATATTATGTTCCCTTAAGTAAAATGGTTATGACTCATGATTGACTCAAATCAATCACTTGGTAAGACTGCAATTTTAATGTTCACAAAGAGAACAAAGATTATTTTGACATCGGAAGTCAATAAGCAGTCCATAGCAGTTATGGACTTCTTACATCAAGCTTTAGAAAGAGCTACTCAGGAAAAAAAAATTCACAAGTGTGTGTGATTTTTTAAATTATATATTTGATATATATTAGTTCTGGGAGAGTCCCAGAACTAATTCTTTATGAGTGAATGATAGAATGCCTTTTAGAAAAAAAAGATTTTAAAAATAGTGGAGTGGTTGGTTTATGTTGATTCTGCATTCAACCAGGAATGCTTTTGAATGAATGTAAGCCACCACACTAATTTAGTATACTTCTGACTATTTTTGTGCAAGTAATGGATGTATTAATACATAAGCTATTTTTAAAATTAGGAATTTGTCTCTAAAGTTGACTACACGCCTCAGATATATGCTAGCCTGTGTGTATGTTTTTGATCCATACATCTGATGATTATTCACCAGAAGTCCATATTAGTCATGGGAAAGCCTCACAAGACTTAGAGCTGATTCAGGTATCCAAGAGTTCAGATATTTATTAGAACATTTTCAGTCCCCAATCCAACTGAGATTCCCTACCTTCTTCACAAACTTCTTCCAATGACCAGCTCTGCTTTTCCCTGTTATTCATGCAAGCACCATCTTGCTCTTACATCAGTTTTTAATCTTACAAGCAGTAACTTTTCTGAAAAGTAGTGCACTTTGGGATATAATTGCCAGGGAAGTACCATATCATATGCAAGAATGAATGGAGCCTTGGCAATAGTACCAGTGGAAAGGGAATCAGTTTCAATTATCCACCTACTCCAACCAGGAGAAGGAAAGTGGGCTTCTTGGCCACTCCCCCAACAACCTGGACTGGAGTGTGTTGCATAGTGATGAAAGCTTCCATGTCAATTTAACAAACAGTTCTGAATGTTAAAAGATCAGTGAGGAGGATGAACACACACTCAGGTCAGCACTTATCCGGTCAGACTAGTTCACCCACTCTGAGTGCCTCTCTGCTTATGGTTATCTGATGAACTTGAAGCTCATGGATTCATCTGTTGAAGTGTATATTAGTAATATGGGCCATGTACATGATGCAGTTAGTCATAATGAAATGGCCAAGTTGAGAGAACTGCTAAGCACTGCAAGCCACAGCTAGCTCACATCCAACTCTTGGTGGGAGGAGTACAAAGGCAGATGAATCAATAATGACAATCTGTCTAACAGTTCACTTTTAGCACCAGGTATGCAGCATATTTTATATGAATTTAACCAGATTTAGAAAAAGGATTGTTTCTCCACCTAAACAGCTGCTTCTTGATTAATTTGTTTTCTTTCAGAAATTGGTCTGTCTTTCTTTGGGGGAATTGGCAAAGTCTTTGGATGACAGAGCATTTTATTGTAGTTTGTTTTAAACTACATTTTCTTAGCAGGGAAAATAGTTTACAAGACCAAACAATACAGTGCACCATCACCCAGCTCCCCTGCTGATGAGAACAGAGTGTCTCAAAAATAAGGAGCACCTGGTAAAGTTGGGCAAACCTGAGCTACTACAGCTATGTCAAAAAATATTTTTATGAAAGAAAAGAGCTCAGCAGGTAGAACTTTCTGTAAAGAAGAACTTCCTATAAAGCAAGTTGCCACTATGTGTCACTTTCTCCTTTTCTTTGGAGCAGCTCCACCTTATTTACATGTGAACAGACCTCGGTCTGATCCAGGAGGACAAACTGATCTGTTTTATTAATTTAGGTAGACTATATAGGGCCAAAGAGTCAACGGTGTTAACATGATACGGTCACTGTCCAACACTGAACCATTTCCCCCTATATATATATATATATATATACACACACATACATACACACACACACACACCGTATTATACGAGAGACCTGCATTATACAAGGATGTGTGTCTTTCTAAAACACTGGCCACTACACCCAAGACAAAATACAGCATGTGAGCTGGCTTATCATCTGATGTAATAATTGGGCCTGTAAATTTACCCTAATTATGAGCCTAACTGTGGGAAAATGAGAAAAAGTTTATTAAAAAGTGTCATAACGTTTATCAATAATTGTTGATGGGGAAAGGTGCTGTCAAGGTTCCTCCCCCACTCTGAACTCTAGGGTACAGATGTGGGGACCTGCATGAAAAAACCCCCTAAGCTTATCTTTACCAGCTTAGGTCAAAACTTCCCCAAGGTACAAAATATTACACCCGTTATCCTTGGAATGGCCGCTACCACCACCAAACTAATACTGGTTACTGGGGAAGAGCTGTTTGGACGCATCTTTCCCCCCAAAATACTTCCCAAAACCTTGCACCCCACTTCCTGGACAAGGTTTGGTAAAAAGCCTCACCAATTTGCCTAGGTGACTACAGACCCAGACCCTTGGATCTTAAGAACAATGAACAATCCTCCCAACACTTGCACCCCCCCTTTCCTGGGAAATGTTGGATAAAAAGCCTCACCAATTTGCATAGGTGACCACAGACCCAAACCCTTGGATCTGAGAACAATGAAAAAGCATTCAGTTTTTACAAGAAGACTTTTAATAAAAAATAGAAGTAAATAGAAATAAAGAAATCCCCCCTGTAAAATCAGGATGGTAGATATCTTACAGGGTAATTAGATTCAAAACATAGAGAACCCCTCTAGGCAAAACCTTAAGTTACAAAAAAGATATACAGACAGAAATAGTTATTCTATTCAGCACAATTCTTTTCTCAGCCATTTAAAGAAATCATAATCTAACACATACCTAGCTAGATTACTTACTAAAAGTTCTAAGACTCCATTCCTGTTCTGTCTCTGGCAAGAGCAGCACACAGACAGACACACAGACCCTTTGTTTCTCTCCCTCCTCCCAGCTTTTGAAAGTATCTTGTCTCCTCATTGGTCATTTTGGTCAGGTGCCAGTGAGGTTACCTTTAGCTTCTTAACCCTTTACAGGTGAGAGGAGCTTTCCCCTGGCCAGGAGGGATTTCAAAGGGGTTTACCCTTCCCTTTATATTTATGACAGGTGCAATAGGAATACAGACAATCAGTCTAAACAAAAAGGTCTACTGATGTAATTCAGGACTGTGTTACAATCATATCTGGTAAACAAGAGAAGCGCGAACTGGAAATCAATGGACCAAAAATGGTGTGCTGGAAGTTATCTTGTTCACCAGTGAGGCCTAACACAAGGACATACTATTCCATTCATCACTCTTTTTTGGAGTCCTTAAAAGTAAAGACTTTGCAGAAGCTAATACAACAATTGCTGACTGAAAGAAAGGCAAGGAGTGAGCTTCACCTTCATAACTGCTACTCCACCATCTTTTCTCAGAGCCTGAGAACCACCATGATATCATTGGGGCTTGCAAGAAGTCCTTGGCATGACAAAAACACCATGCCTCCTTAGAATCTACCTTAGCCATCCAGGACTGTCTTTTGCAAAACTGCTAAGAGTATGACTGAACAGGCAACTAAAAGCAATACGCTAAACAAGCTGATGCAGGTACAAGTTTGCCAGGTCTCAGAGGGCTGATTATACTATGTGCTCTGTGTGTGTTTTTCCAGCAGTAAAATTGCAAGTGAAGTCAACACCACAGACTGAAGCTGCATTATCTTCACTGTTCTTTTCTTTCTGTCTTGTGTACGTTTGTCTTGTTTTGTCTGCTAGGAAGTGAGACTCAACAGCTGCAGCCCAACTTTCTTTTTCCCCATTATTACCATCTTTAATACCATATAAAAGATTGTCAAACAGTGGGTTTTTCCCTTATAAAAAGCTCTCTAAACTAAAGGAAAAGGGCACAATGGATATTGTTAAAATGAAAACCTTAATGTTTTACCTTTCAAATGCTGTAGCCTTTTTAACTTTTGTATCTTGGTTTCTTTACAAAGGTATTAAGCAGGCCTGGGTGTCTGTATACCAAACCCCAAAACCTTGTTTAAAACTGTTTATTCCTGACTCTACAAATCAATCAGCATATGCCCTGAAGCATGATGCTTAATGGCCTGTAACAGTGTGGTACAGTAGAACATTGACCCATCCTGTTAATAAGTGATGGAGCTCTGCAAGAGTGATTGATTGGATACTCAGACTCATTGTAACAGGTGTGGCTTATTAACTCCATTTTCGACAGAAGGGAGATGAGGGTGGCTCTCTGGTCAGATGAACTAGGGCCTAGAGTAGAAATATCTCTTTTGGGTTGTGTGGAATAACCAGTTTTAGCACTTCATATTTTCAAAGATGTGAAAAGTATTTATATTATCTCAACTGAAAAGATCAGATTACTGAACTCTGTTTTCTCCTCTTCACCAGATCTTATCTAACAAGACTGACCCTGATTTCCAAGTTATAAAATATAGCCATAATAATTTCTTAGAAATATTTAGTTCAGGAAATCATAGTAAAAACTAGAGACTGATCAAGATTAAAATGGCTGCTCTATGTAGGTACTCAAACGATACCTTCCCAGCTAGCTAGCTCACTGAGTATTCAGTAAGTATTCAATACTCTACATTTTACCTCCACCCCAAAACACTCACAGTTTAGGAATGTGTGGGCATTGAATAGCAGTGTAGAGGTGGTCACAGGAAATCCCAGAAACAGAGAAAATATAGGTATAGACCTTTCCTTCTGTTATCATTAAAGGAGACAGCCAGTAGCAAATGAAGGCTGGTTCAGGGTGCTAGTCGGGGGTCCATTCCCAGCTTTGTCACATACGTCCTGTGTGACACCTTAGGCAAGTCACTTAAGCCTCTCTGGGCCTCTAGTTACCCCTCTGTAAGATGGAGATAATAGTACTACTCTATCTCACAAATGTGAGGAGGGATAAATTACATTCAAGTGCTCGGATTCTTCAGTAATATGGGCCACACAGAATCATAGGATTGAAAGGGACCTCGAGAGGTCTTCTAATCCAGTCCCCTGAAAGGGACTATCTTTGACAGGCATTTGTATAATGTGCTCTTAAAAATGTCTAATGATGGAGATTCTACAACCTCCCTAGGCAATTTATTCCAGTGCTTAAGCACCCTGACAGGAAGTTTTTCATAATGTCCAACCCAAACTGCCCTTGCTGCAATTTAAGCCCATGGCTTCTTGTCCTATCTTCCGAGGTTAAAGAGAATATTTTTTCTCCCTCCTCCTTGTAACAACCTTTTATGTACTTGAAAAGTGTTATGTCCCCCCTCGGTCTTCTCTTCTCTAAAACAAATCCAGTTTTTTCAATCTTCCCTCATAAGTCATGTTTTCTAGACCTTTAATCATGTTGCTCTTTCCTGGACTTTCTTCAGTTTGTCCACATCTTTCCTGAAATGTGGTGCCCAGGACTGGACACAATACTCCAGCTGAGACCTAATCAGCACCTGATAGAGCCGTTTCCCTGGAGCCCTGCCCATTCTCCAAGGCCCGGTCCCCTGCTCACTCCATCCCTCCTCCCTCTGTCACTTGTTCTCTGCCACCCTCACTCACTTTCACTGGACTGGGGAAGGGGTTGGGGTGTGGGCTCTGGGGTGGTGCTAAGGGGACTGAGGTGTAGGAGGGGAGGTCTGGGGCCGAGGGGTTCAGAGTGCAGGAGGGGGCTCAGAGCTGGGGCGGGGTGCAGGTTCTGGAGGAAGTTCCAACGTGGGACAGGGGTTGGGGTGCAGGACGGGGTTCAGGATACGGGCTCCGGCCAGGCAGCACTTACCTCAGGCGGCTCCCAGTCAGTGGCACAGTGGGGCTAAGGAAGGTCCCCAGAAGCGGCCAGCATGTCCCTGCAGCCCCTAGGCAGAGGGGCCGGGGGCTCTGTTCGCTGCCCACACCCACAGGCACCACCCCCACAATTCCCGTTGGCCACAGTTCTCGGCCAATCGGCGCTGGCGCTCAGTCCCCATGCTCACCCCTGGGCTTAGGAGCCAAACATTCCAGCTGCTTCCAGGAGCCACACAGAGCCAGAGTAGGCAGGGAGCCTGCCTTAGCCGTGATGCACCGCCGACCAGTTTTAACAGAGCCACTAGGGTCCCTTTTTGACCGGGTGTTCCAGTTGAAAACCAGACACCTGGCAACCCTACGTAGAGCGGAGGCATTACTTCTGGTCTTGCTTACAGCACTCCTGCTAATACATCCCAGAATGATGTTTGCTCTTTTTTGCACCACAGTGTTACACTGTTGACTCATATTTAGCTTTTGATCCACTATGACCCCCAGATTCTTTTCTGTGGTACTCCTTCATAGGCACTTCATTTCCCACTTTTTGGGTGTGCATCTGTTTGTTCCTTCCTAAGCGGAGTGCTTTGCACTTGTCCTTATTGAATTTAATCCTATTTACTTCAGACCATTTCTCCAGTTTGTCCAGATCATTTTGAACTTTAATCTTATCCTTCAAAGCACTTGCAACCCCTCCCAGCTTGGTATCATCTGCAAACTTTATAAGTGTACTCTATATGCCATTATCTAAATCATTAATGAAGATATTGACGGACCCAGACCCAGAACTGATCCCTGTGTGACCCCACTCAATATACCCTTCCAACTTGACCATGAACAACTGATGATTACTCTCTAGGAACGGTTTTCTAACCAGTTATGCCAGTTCCAACTGATAGTGGAGAAGCCTGGGAAAAGAGAGAAGAGGGAAGGAAAGAACCAAGGAAATTTAACATTTATAATTGGCAGTTGTTTTACTGAGGGTGGGGGTATGCAGTGGGGAGAACGCACAAACAAGATATTTACTGACAAAGTGATTAAAAATTAAACAAAAATGAAAAGTCTAAAAGACAAAAGGATCTAGAAAAAATGCTTACTGTAGTTTAAGGTGTAGCAAACACTAAATTCTTTGGAGAACTGATTTAAAAAGGGGGATTACTAAATTTAAAAGATCTATGAAAAGCAAATTTTTATATTTTAGTACACAGATTCAAGCTAATTTTTTCCATTTTACTGTATTAAATTAGCACCTGTATAGCAGTTTCTTTAAACAACTTCAAAGAATTGGGGGGGGGACCCAAGATCTAAAATGATCATTTCCTACATTTATGTGCTACCTCCAAAAGCATGTAGCTAGCAAGTTTCAGCAGCACAATGACAAATATATTCCCACAGAGTCATATTTAATTCAACCGTGAAAGACTGCAGCCACCTAACAACACCACTCAAAAAAAGTCTGATTTGTGCTCAGCCATTAGGAAGGGATTCAGACACCAGCCAATAGGGAGTTGCTGGCAGCGTCCTGAGCTATGTGAATACTTATTTCATTATTTGTTTCTGTTCACAAATTAATTTGTGGAGATCAATCATCACACGATGTACTGGTTGTCTGGCAGAGTAGCATATGTTTAAACAGTTAGTCCTTCATTTCAGTTTAAGAGGACTCACACAAGGATTGCAGGGTGAAGGCTCCCAGAGCCATATTCATCTCATTTGTTTTGGTTCACATTGGGTTCTGCAATCTTTGCTTGGTTCGTTTGCTGAGTTTTGCTTTGAGTTTCAGATGTGAACAAAGCAAAGCAAAGCTAATCCTACATCTTGTAGGGCCCTAACCATTCCCTCCCCACCTGGGATCAAATCCTTTTACCTCCAAGTAGACAGGATGCCCTTAGTCACTGCCTGTTTACCTCTGTCTTTCAGGCACTTTCCCTTATGCTTTTGTAAGACTGAAATCTGGTGCCCTCATACATGAACCAGGAAGCCCAGAGTGGGACCAAAGCCATCCAGACATTGGTAGAATTTACAAGCAAACAGCATAACTCTTTGGGGCAGAGACCCTCTTTGTTCTCTGTTTGTACAGCATCTAGCACAATGTGGTCATGGTCCATGATAAATAAATAATAATAATAATAATAATAATGGATTTGAGGGA